CCACCACCACCACCACCACCACCACCACCACCACCACCACCGACAGTTCGACCGTCGACTTCGATGGTGTCCACCGTGTGCTCCACAGCAGGCTGGAGCAGGGACGGCAGCATGCAAGTGAATAAGTTTATAGTGTTAGTGGACTTGCGCTGCACCTACCGCACTCCCTTTCCCACCCCCATTTGGACCCGGTGCCATGACTAAGCCAAGAAGACCGGACGTGAGTGAGGCTGCAGGTGACTGGCATGGCGCAAAGCCATACCTTGGCGTACCACCACACCTCCTGGTCCGCAACAAACACTTTGTCAGGATTTTCAATAACAAAAAGTGGGGGAGCGTCATGGACCCCAGCTGGCGCGACTTCAGCTTGCAAATGGGCCTGCCATTGCACTCCGAATGTTGACATTTGCAATGGGTGCGCATTCCCGATAACGTCTTTCGGAATACGATGCAGCCCCCGTGTTCGCCCAGCGAACCAACCGCGTGGCCCGTTTTAGGGAGCATACCAGCGCAGCCGCTGCCGCCGCCGCCGCCATGTCAAGCTACGTACGTCTTTCCGACGGATTTACTCCAAGTTTGCGCATTAATTTCCTCGTAAGGTTAACAGGGCGACACTTTGTCTTTCTTTAGAAGCCACCGATTCACAGCAAAATCACTTCAGAAGTGAGAAGGCTCAACATTCATGCATGTCCCCGTAAAATGGTCCGTATAGTGCTATGACTCGGCCCTGAAAAGGTCATAAAGGTGGTCAGATCTTTGACGTCAGACACTTTAGACTCAGTGGTAGGGGGCGCTCACCGATCGTTCATACGGAACTCACTCGTTCCGACAAGGCAACGGGCTCGTGGCCCGGTGAGTAGAGGCGTTGACTTCTAAACCAACAGGTCGCGAGTTCGAGGCTCGGGTGTTCCACACTTCGGGCTTGGGTATGGCTGGCTGACGACGGCTAATAAGCCAGAAATGGCCATTCCAGTCTCCCTTGTCTTTGTCGGTAATGTTATTCTACTTTAGACTCACATATGCAGGGAAGCATAGGCAGCGTGACTACGTCATCATATTTTCGGAGATATCTCCAGATGGCTTAGGATCTTTGAGGTCCAAAAGGGTGACACG